CACCCGCCACTGTACCCAGCTAATTTTTGTATTTTTCATAGTAGAGACAGGGTTTTGCCATGTTGCCCAGGCAGGTCTCGAATTCCTGACCTCAAGTGACCTGCCTGCCTTGGCCTCCCAAAGTACTGGGATCACAGGCGTGAGCCACCGTGCCCTGCCTAAATATGATTTTTTATGGTTAGTTGTTACACAACACAAGCTGACATCTGAGAGCAGGGCACTTGTTGGATGCAGGGTGGCCCCATCCACAGGCACCACCCTCAAGTAAGATTGGAACTTTTTCAACCTTTTGAACTGACAAAGCCTCCACGTGACTTTGCAGAAGCCACAGTTTCTCACTGCCAAAGTTGAGGGATCCCAGAAGTTAGTAGTCAGCTGGGAAGTAGATCAGGTGCAGCCATAGAAATCAGACAGTGCAGATTCAAGTCCTGGGTAACTTGAGGCGAGTCACTCAACATTCTGGGCTTTGAAGGGTTGGAGTTGGGAAAGCTGGGACCTACTGGCTTGATGTGGCCCACTGGCATGTTTGTTTGTATTGCACATTATTTTCATTTTGTTTTGTTTTAGTTTTTTTTAAATCAATATTAAGACAATAAGGTGTTAAATTGTGGAAAAAACAGTCCCTCATACATGGCTGCGGGAATGGATCTAGGTACAACCACTATGAGGGGTCAAGTAGGCAAATTCCTTACGTATTAGAAATTCACATACAGAAATTCTAATTCGGAGAATTTAGTTACAGATACATTTGCATATGTGAAAAATATATATGTAGGAGGTTATTCAGGCACCATTGTTTATTTTATTCAACTTTTAAATTTTACATTAAGTTCTGGGATACATGTGCAGAGTGTGCGGATTTGTTACATAGGTATACATGTGCCATCGTGGTTTGCTGCACCTATCAACCTGTCATCTAGGTTTTAAGCCCAGCACGCATTAGGTATTTGTCCTAATGCTCTCCCTCCCCTTACCCCACAACTCCCAAAAGGCCCTGGTGTGTGTTGTTCGCCTCCGGTATCCATGTGTTCTCGTTGTTCAACTCCCACTTATGAGTGAGAACATGCAGTGTTTGGTTTTTTGCGTTAGTTTGCAGTTTTCCTGTGTTAGTTTGCTGAGGATGATGGCTTCTAGCTTCAACCATGTCCCTGCAAAGGACATGATCTCATTCTTTTTTATGGCTGCATAGTATTCCATGGTGTACATGTGCCACCTTTTCTTTATCCTGTCTATCATTGATGGGCATTTGGGTTGGTTCCATGCCTTTGCTATTGTAAATAGTGCTCAACACTATCAATACCTATGCAGCATTGTTTAAAATGCAACAGTCTAGAAAAGCAATCTAAATGGGGGTGGGTTAAATCAAATATGGGTCATCCAACCAGGCAGGGTAGCTCACGCCTGTAATCCCAGCACTTTGGGAAGCTAAAGTAGGAGGATAGCTTGAGCCCAGGAGTTTAAGACTGCATTGAGCCATAATCACACCACTGCACTCCAGCCTGGGCAACAGAGTGAGATGCTGTCTAAAAAAAAAAAACAAAAAAAAAAACAAAAAAAAAACCACTGCAAAAAAAATAGATCATCCATATGGTGGAATACAGTTGTGCAACTGTAAAAATAATGAGGATACTGTCTATGTACTAATAAAGAAAATTCTCGGCTAGGTATGGTGGCTCACACCTGTAATTCCAGCATTTTAGGAGGCCAAAGCAGGAGGATCACCTGAGCCCAGCAGTTTGAGACCAGCCTGAGTGACATAGTGAGACCCCCATCTCTACAAATAAAAAAAATAGCCAGACACGATGGCACGTGCCTGTAGTCCCAGCTACTTGGGAGGCTGAGGTGAGAGGATCGCTTGAACCCCAGAGGTCGAGGCTGCAATGAGCTGTGTTTGCACCACTGCCCTCTGGCCTGGGTGACAGTGCAAAACTCTGTCTCAAAGAGAAAAAAAGAAAAAAAAAAAGAATATTTAGGATAGGTTAATTAAAAAGCAAGGTGTAAAAAAATGTGTTTGTTATGTTCTATTTTATGTAAAATGGGATAAAACATGGAAAAAAGGTATGTTTATGTTACTATTTGTTTGTATAATTATAAAGACACTTTATCCACAATAAATCAGTAATTGTGGTTACCTGTGGAGTGAGAAACTGTAGTAGGAGGGAGACATTTTCTGTACCTTTTCAAGTGTTTTGAATTTTGAGTATTGAAAAGTTAAGTTTAAAAAATCAGGTTTTCCTTACTTTGGGAGGCTGAGGCGGGTGGATCACTTGAGGTCAGGAGTTTGAGACCAGCCTGACCAACATATTGAAACCCCGTCTCTACTAAAAATACACACACACAAAAATTAGCCAGATATGGTGACACACACCTGTAATCCCAGCTACTTTGGATTTGGAGGCTGAGGCAGGACAATCCCTTGAACCCGGGAGGCGGAGGTTGCAGTAAGCCAAGATGACACCCATTGCACTCCAGCCTGGGTAACAAGAGTGAAACTCGCGCCGGGCGCGGTGGCTCAAGCCTGTAATCCCAGCACTTTGGGAGGCCGAGACGGGCGGATCACGAGGTCAGGAAGATCGAGAACCATCCTGGCTAAAAACGGTGAAACCCGTCTCTACTAAAAACAAAAAAACTTAGCCG